CAAAACTACTTCCATTAAAACTCAGGCAGTTCCTTTAGTCAAACCAAAACTTATTGATTAAAGGGGGAATTCCATCATTCTCAGTCAATTAAAGATATCATTCCATATCTGCGGGATTTAGCAGTTTATTAAAGCTACGTTGAGCAAAACTGCATAGGCATTCAATAGCTACACAATACACCTTGCAGCCATGGGAAAGTGTTGCCTGCAAAAGTGGCTGTAAACACACTAGTCAGCACACTCACGTAATAATCCCTAAAAATATTGCCTAAATACCTTTCCATAGCCACCCTATCTTAGCCGGGCCTAACTCAGGGCTCAGACATTCCTGCCTAACCCTTGTCGCGTGACCTCTTGTCGCGTGAAATGCCACACCGGTACGAGCCACAGAAATTAATAGTCCATTCACTGACGGCTAACCCACAACACACACTCCGGAGCACATCATCCACACACAGGGGAGCATGTCAAATACAATAGCAGACAAAGTCATTAAATCGAGAGCACAATTGCAGCAGCAAAATAACCTGTTATACGATTTGGGCACGATCAGTGAATGGTCCCCCCAACAACAAAAAAAACGTGATCGATACAAAGGCAACAGGGCACACACTAATCTTGAGTAATTGTCATTCACGGAGAGGAGGGATTTCTTGGTTTAAAGACTGTAACACCGTTGTTAATCATGCTTCCTTTTGTCAATGCCATTGAGTTACACTATCCAGTACTGTACATTAGAATTGCTCCATCAGCATAGAGCGGTTTTATTACAGACCTCACAGGAATTGCTTAAATCTGCCTCAAGGGTACAGCCATTTTCAAGTTTTGGCAGAGAGCACAGTACCAGACAAGGCAAACCGTTGCTAAGCCGATGACTGGCAAAACAACTACGCTAACTTCAGTTACCCCTAACAATATCCCAAGTAACCGACACCTTTATCGCGATGCAAGTGCCGAGCGTGACACACGTCCCTCGTTTGAGGTAAACTTGTCGAGGAAGTGTCGTGAAAGAGAGAGGAGAGAGAGGGGGGGGGGGGAGAATGAGCTGTATTCCCAACCGGACACAAGTCGGACATTCCAAGAGGCAGGAACACTGAACCATGGACAACTTATCCAACCTGAAACGGACTACACTTTTTTCTCGAGGTGCAAACGCCCGTGCGGCGCCAATGCCCCGAAACCACAGGCTGTGAAATCCCCTTATAAAAGAAAGCCACTGTCTGTTCGATTAAAATCCCCTTCGCTTTGCAAACATGCCGTTTCTGCCCAGCACGGACCTCGGCCCAAACCCGAGAGCTTTCTATGTTCGGCATGACATTTAACAATGTTTTCAACAATATTTGACAACATATAAACCAAAGGCGAAATACAAACCTAGCATTAGTGTTTATCAAGCCAAACCCCCTCCTCTATATTAATTGTGTCATTATCCAAAATGTCAATATTTGAAAAACGTGTGCATTTAAGTAATACATTACACATCCAGTGGGTTTATTTTATTGCAGTCTCTTTGTAATCTAACGTGACACATCACACAAGAAGCAATGCGAGCAGCTGATGTGCTCTGCTGCAATAATGCATGCGTTCGTATGACAAGAGACGGTCAAAGGTGATCCCCCTGCACAGCTGGGAGAAGATTGGCAATTAATCTCGGCTAAAGGCCACTGCAATTATAAGACAAAGGTGAAGTGTGGGTGTGACCGGGGTAAGGAAATAGGCTCGAGCGACGACGGTCCCTGGAGTTTGCCGGAGTAACCAGTGTAATGTAGACCGCCTGCTGAGTTTCCCACACCGCTGCTTGGACCTGCTTACCACCCTGAGGTGTCCCATGTTGACAACTGGGTAAAGTGAATCAGAATATGTATCTATACTGCAGGAGGAATCCGATGAGCTGTGAAGCTCCTCTTCACATACGTCCAGTAGGGGCACGGGGTAAGCACGTTACGACAACGAACAGGACAACAACACGATAGTAGTGCAAAGGACAAAAAAGGCAAATAAATCACCGAAACACAAACCATTAACACTAAACCATCCTACCAGGCGAAGCCCACTAAGGTATTAACTTATTCTTCAGAAGCAACCTGGCCACAAATGATAACTCAACAAAGTGGCTTACCACGTGGAAATTCAAAGCAGCAAAATAATCTACCTTCCATGCATGGATGTGTCACGGTTTAAGAGTTTCTTATTGTTACGGTGAACGATATTTGGCCTGCTTTTCCATCCTGCCCAAACATCAGTAGCCACAACACTTCATCCCACCACACACAACCTGTTGAACTGTTGGTGTATCCATTGATACACTGCTGTGTGGACAGAGGTGGAATAGATTTCAGAAACATGCCCACTGCCACGTCAGTAGATCGAGCGAGCAACCTCTGGATCGCAAGTCCAGTGCGCTGACCATTACACCATATGGCAGCAAATACAAGTACAGAACTCCTAATGCCCCTCCACACTCAAGAGTGTTTGCTCTTTGATGAGCACCTGCATCCGAAAGGGCCGCATACGAACGACACTTTTGTGGCCTCAAGGCGCTAGCGAAAGCCCTCCCCCGTCACCCTCACTTGCACCCAGGCATGAACATTTTTTACTCGCTTAAGAAAACACGTTAATGTGCTTGCGGTACTTAACAAATTGATCTCATAATTCAATATATTGTTGTATAAATGCGTAACAAAGTCTGTTAGCAGCTTACAGCTCAAGTACATAGCATTGGATTCATAAGCACTTTCATTCATTTGAATGCACTGTGGCGTTACAAGCAAGGAACATACACAAAATACGTGAAAGTACCATACACACGCGCACACATGTAGAATCGCACGCGCAACAAAAAAGACGGAGAGATAAACAAACCACCACTTCACACACACACACCTGCGCCAAGTCCGCAGATATTACGCGCAAAGGTCGTTATCAATCTCCGAGACAAAATGAGGCGATCCTATCAGTGGCTCGCCGCATTGTGCGCCCAGTACCGTCTCAGAGGCGACAGGTGCTGCGCGAATCTAAACACAAGCCCACGCGTTCGCCCGCCTTGAGACAAAGTCTCAGCCGAAGCGGCGTGGAGAAGATTTCAAAAAAGGCGCGATCGTTCATTCTCACTGCAGCGAAGCGGATGCATAACGACTGTCACGCTTGCAGCGAATTCGCGGGAGCGTCATGCGAGCGCACGCAATTTGCCGGGCGGAAACCAGGCGTGGGATCTCGGCTGCGCTGAACCAATCAAAACCATCAGCGAGTGTAAAGTGGGCTGTCGAGCCTATTGTGGCGAGCAGTTGAAGAATATCTGGCTTTGTTCGATGAGGTGAAAAAAAAATCATTATTGCCCAAGCAGGTGCTAAGCACACTGCGGGGGCTACTGCAATAGCTGCACTGCAAATGTTATTCCATAAAAACACGTTTTTTTACCATTTCCGTTTGTTTTTTCAGCTGCCCTTGGTAAAATCTCTACAAGCCTGCCCTTTATTCGGCAAAGGCTATTAAATAGTGCTATCGGGATTAAAAAACAACCGTTATTATTCAGACTATTTTACTATTCACAACATTAAAAAATGCGCGGAATGAGAAAACTCCACAATTCGTACTGTACTGACGCGTGGCGAGTTTAGTTTCTCGTGCTCTGGATTTGTTCGTGGCCTTAAGAAAAAAAAAAGCCCCTGATTTAACATTTAGAATAAGGAGAATGTGTTCAATCGTCACCCTTCTTACACTGACACCTCTGATAATGCAGGCATTACATTAACATCTGATTTAATAACCTGTTTATGTATTTATTGACAGCTCCACTAATCGCAGTTTTGATAATATGCATAAAAGTACAGTGCTAAATGTACGTGTGCAAGTATAAAAGTAGTTTGAAAAGTTTCGGGTACAAGGTGTTCCAGGAAAAGGATGCCCCCACTGATCTCAAGTTAACGCCAGGTTGAAGACCAACCATCAATAAACCGACATGCTGCTGCTGACGATGACGATGACAACTTGAGACCCAAGAGCAATGGGACCAGCAAACAGAGAGAGAGAGAGCGTTTTCTCTCGAGAGGGCGAGGCCCGACACCCGGAGGAGCAGACACAAAAACCGTCTAACCGAGACAACGGGCAGCTCGGTGAACTCTGCCTCACTTCGACCGACTGCGAGTCGCGAGACAAACATTGAGCAAACGCCAGCGGAGTGTGCAACAGAGCACGCGTTTAGACAATGCCGAGAATGGGAGTGGGGATCGCAGACCATTCATCATCTGCCCATTCCTGTGAGCGGACGACAGTAACTGCTGATGTGCAAAAAGAGGTTCGCTGGTGCCTGAACGTATACTCTATGAAGAAGACGTGTTTTTATGGGTCAGACATCTCGACTAATTATTACTAACACTGCTACACGGGGTGAATTGTGCCCTGTTCCAAAATTACCTTGAGGACACCTTTACTTGGCTGCTGAAATTATGCACTCCCAGAAGGCCGTGTGGGACATAAAAATTAACTCATTTATTTATTTTCTTCCTCTATATCTGGTTATTCAAATATTAATGTGCATACAATTGTTGCATTACTGTATCATTATGATTATTATTTGTAATTATTCGGTAGTTTATTTATAATTTGAGCATTTTTTTTGCTCAATTCTATTAAGCAATGCATTTTTTTTGCTTCCAATTAACTCTAAATTGAGCTTCATCTGCCTGAACCCTGATTGATGTTGTGACTGCTGCTGCTGCTGCTGTTTTTTTGCATTGCTTCATGATTTCCACCGTGACTAGTCCAGTACAATGTAGTTTCTTTTCCAACCAACCAAGTGGATCGTACATCTCCCCGATGCGTTCTAGGGTTGTGTCGCACATTCCGGAGCAGTTTTCTGGAACACTTCTCGAAGACCAATAAAAAACCATCGGAGCTAACGCAGCACAGCGCGACCGGGGAAACACTTGGGACTGCAGCGGGAGTCTCATTCACACGGAGGACTATGGAGGTCACGGCGAGGGCTCGCCGGCGCAGCTCACCTCGGAAGTTGAGTTGAATGCGTGGCACGGCCGGCTGCGGGGGAGACTGCGCGAGGACGCCGCCGCACGCGGAGGCCAGCACCAGCGCCAGCGCGAGCACCGGCGGCGGTGCTGGACGCATGGTCGCTCGTCGACTGGGCACGCGTGCCGCTACGCTCGACTTGCCCACGGCTGGCAAAGCGCTAAGCAGCTCGGCTGGTCCTCGTCTCGCGTATCCAACAAGCCAGCACACCTGATGGGATACAAAAACAGGACAAAAGGCAACGATTGTGTTAAACGAAGGGAGGTTGAAACGCCCCCCCCACTTAAAAACAGTCTCCACGTAGATTACGCTCTCACACGAACTTGCATTGTTTCCATGGCGTGGCAGTAGAGGCACTGCTGCAAAGTAAGTGGACGAGCACAAGCGTACCGTGGGAAAAGACAGCGCTTGAAAAGTCGACTGCCCATAATCGTGCTAATTTGTAACGAGCACAATTTTCACTTGCCCCAAGGCAGTGACCTGAGGCGCATAGGGTGGCCCATTTCCAATAACTCTGGATAAACTGCGATGCCTATTATATTGAGTTCGGTTAAAATAATTGAGATTCCCAAGAGTAATCTCACCGCCTTGTTTACAGAGTGCACGAGTCGACACTTTCCAGAGGATTTGGACTGCAAACAGATGGAATCACAAGGGGCCACGATGTTTTTTCCACTGACATACTGCATGAAGAAAGTAACATGACATAAATGATTACGACGGTATAACAACTGCTCTATATCTGGCGAGGCCACTACATTGGATTATTATCGCAACAAAACCAACTAGGAAGAAATCACGCACGATATGAAGAGCACACATTTGTAATGCAAATGCAGTAGCAATTGTTACATTTAGGTTATTCAAATAGAGTGAACGTTTACAAGGGTAATCATTAACTTAAAAATAAAAAAACACATTTATAATGAAGTTGTCAAAACATACTCCGTGCAAATTGTACATGGAGAACGTGCTTGCACTGGGACAAGGAGGAAGCAACTTGCTAACTGTCGGGCGAAAGACGAGGAAGAAACAAACATATAGGGGGACAAATGAGAAAATAATGGCCAGGAAAGATGCAGCTCAGCAAGACGAGTACAAAGCACCGAAACACGTGCTGCTCTTGGACAACCTTTCAAACAACATTTCTCTTTGACAATTGCCCAAAACAGCTGTGGTGAAGATACACAAAAAAAATTGCTGGCTCAAAGGTTTGAATCAAATCAGCAAGAGAGGAGTGAAGACAAACATTGTCGAGATGGGGGGGGGGGGAGGAATTGGCAGAGAAAGTGAAAGAGCAAAACAAGAAAATGAGAAGACCCAAGACAGGTCAAAGTTCATGACACAGCAACATCAATCTGGCACAGGCTGTCCCCGGCTGCATGGAGAGTGAGGTGAGTGACTGATCTCAATTTGCCCAGACTTGGCCCCCACTAAACCTAATGCCCTCTTCGCTTTAGCACCCCCACAAAAAACCTCCCTTGCCATCACATCCTTGCCCCCCCCCACCCCACTATTCCTCTACATCATCAACCGGAACCCAACAACACACGCGAGCAGGAACATGCTGAAAAATAACATCGGAAGGATGCAATCACTGAACACCCATCAGCATGTCTTTGCAGAACGCCAATAATGTCTTGTGGCAGCCGCTCTCTGCTTTCAATTAAGGCCGTGCTTTATACAGAGACACTATTTTCTTTTCAGAACCTTTTTCATCAAATGCTACCCGTCAATCATTAGGATGGGGATTTTTTGTGTTCTTCCCCCCCCCCCCCCCCCCTCTCAATACTGATCCTAACCACATGTAATATTCAGCATGACATGATCGCACCCCAAGAAAACAGACACAAAACACATGCAAGGAAATCGTGCCCACCGACGCATCGAAAAGTTGCGTCAGTGACAACAAATCACGTGTGCGGGTGTGTGCGTGTATTGGCAGATAGCAGTGGGGAGCGGTTGAATTGCGGTTAGCGCGCTGCGCTACTGAACCGGCGAACCGCTCGCTCACGGCCGGCACCAGTGACGATTATTCGAACTGGTCCTGGGGTCTCCCCTAGGTCGACTCAGCCTCAAATGTGTACCTGGTGCGGTGTGTAAACATCGTTGCTGGGGAGACAAAGGCGGTCGACCCACCCCCTCGTGTACCGTTCCGGCCTTCATACTTGCTAGCTAACAGCACTTGCCCCAACACTCTGTCAAGGCTATACGGGGGGTGGGGGAGAATCTTTATCTTTGGCAGATAACAACCTGGCGAATCTACGATGACCGTCAGAGTGCAAGACACGTTGCCAGAGATCGTCTTCGGGACGTTTCACACGAAACGGAGGAGGGGTTGGGGGGGGGGGGAAATGAGCAGCAATAACTTTTACATGCGTCACTGACTTCATAAACGGCACCTAACAAGCCCCAAGACAGCAGCGCAAGAGTCGCGCGCGCGTGTTCACATCGCGGCGGTGCCTATCGCACACGCGCCAGCTCTTTAACTGCTCCACGTCCAACCTCCTCCACCTCCCCATATTGTAGTCTTTGAACAAAAAAATAAACCACATTCGCCGTATTTGTTAACGCTTCTTGCTCCGGTGAACGCGAATTTGCTCACCGAGCATGAGGATTCTGCCCGTTGAGCTCCCGGGTGCAATCAGTTTTGATAAATAACATCGCAGTAACGCCACTTCTAAATGGTAGATGCAAGGCACAAGGGGCCAAATACACCGCGACGCGTGTTGGCCCAAACGTCACAATCCATGTGGACCTGGCACGATGATGATGCGAGCACAAACGATAACACATTCAAAAAGAGGTGGCTGTCATTGATAGAATAATAAATAAATAAATGCCGAACGCCGCGATAACGCGAGTGGATATACACTCGAATGTACATACCAGTTACTTGTTAAACGTGTACAACGCTGGGCCAAAACTGTGTTTTTTTTTAAGTGCAGACTATCTTACATTCAGGTCCAATACACAAGGCGATCCGTTTACAGATACCCCATTGAGTTCGCATGCTCCATTCAGTCTGTGCTTCCTTCTCTACAGGCGGCCGAGTGATTGTGCGAGCTGTGGTCCCCGCGTCCCCCACAGGACAGCTGCTGAAAGGTCTCCCAAGCCAGTCTCGGAGAGCGCTCGAGGATGGAGCGAGACGTCTGTGGAGGCTCGAAATGAGAACATGAACATCGTTCTGTCATTCCGGTGGGGTCGTCCACGACGATAATATAATTACTAACATGTATAATGCGCCATTCCATCCTCGGATCCCAAATGCGCAATGCCTGGAAAGCAGGAACTACAACCAGAGCCAGGGGCAACCCAGCACCATCAGCAGCAGCAGCATCACTAGACCAGCAGTAGCAGCAGCATCACTAGACCAGCAGTATCACGAGACCAGCAGCATCACTAGACCAGCAGTAGCAGCAGCATCACTAGACCAGCAGTATCACTAGACCAGCAGTATCACTAGACCAGGAGTAGCGCGAACAGCACCATCAGTGGTAGCAGCAGCAGTAGCAGCAGCAGTAGTAGCACCAGCAGAAGCAGCAGTAGTAGTAGTAGTAACAGCAGAAGCAGTAGGAGTAGCAGTAGTAGCAGCAGTAGTAGCAGCAGCAGTAGCAGCACCAGTAGTAGCAGCAGTAGCAGCAGCAGTAGCAGCAGCAGTAGTAGCAGCAGTAGTAGTAGTAGCAGCAGTAGCAGCAGTAGTAGTAGCAGCAGTAACAGCACCAGCAGTAGTAGCAGCAGTACCAGCACTAGCAGCAGCAGTAGCAGCAGCAGTAGTAGCACCAGCAGAAGTAGCAGCAGTAGTAGTAGCAGCACCAGCAGCAGTAGTAGCAGCAGTAGCAGCACCAGCAGTAGCAGCAGCAGTAGTAGCAGCAGTAGAGGCAGCAGCAGCAGTAGTAGCAGCAGTAGCAGCAGTAGTAGTAGCAGCAGCAGTAGCAGCAGTAGTAGAGGCAGCAGCAGCAGTAGTAGCAGTAGCAGCAGCAGTAGTAGTAACAGCAGCAGTAGCAGTAGTAGCAGCAGTAGTAGTAGCGGCAGTACCAGCACCAGCAGTAGTAGCAGCAGCAGTCAGCACTCGAGCAGCAGTATCACCACCACCAGCAGCAGCAGCAGCAGCAGGAGGACACTCGCAGCTCACCCACCACAAGCCCTCCCCATCACACACACGCGCGCGCGCCGTGTTTCTGTTTCACCTCCACTTCCAGGCGGCGTCTTCTCTTGGCGAAACACTTCTCTCTCTGGGTTGTTTTTGCTAAATAGTTTTTTTTTCGTTTTAAAAAAAATCAACAACTTATTTCGACGTGACAATGTTAACGACTTCTTTATTCGCTGATAAAGAGATGAGCAGCAGGAGGAGTGGAACAAAAAAAAATCTAAATTCGCTTAAGTCCCACACCCCAACGGCGTCGTTCGCCGCCGATGCTTTTGCTCTTCCCTGGACGTCGCCGGAGCGGTCGTTGCGAAGGTGCTCAGCAGCAGCGGCGGCAGCAGCAGCAGCAGCGGCGTCGTGGTCGTGGTCGCTTGTGCGGTCGTTGGCGCGAGGCGCGCGCCTTACTCCCCACCTGTGACGCGGCCGCGCGCTCAGCTGCGAGCTGGTGGGGGTGGGTGGGGGTGGGGGGTAGGGGGTGCTGGCCCCGGCCGGTGGGGAGGGAACTCGCGGCCCGTGGGGTACCCCCGAGGGGGGTCGCGAGCAACGCCCGCAGCGATGTGGAGCTCGGCAACGCCCCAGGGCACACGGAGTGGAGCGATGGTTTAGGAGGCGACAGCGGTGGGCGCTGGCACTAATTGTAGGCCCATCGTCGTCGTTGTTGGTGTTGTTGTTGGTGTTGTTGTTGGTGTTGTTGGTGTTGGTGTTGTTGTTGTTGGTTGTTGTTGGTGTTGTTGGTGTTGCGCCGCCTCTTCGATGTGCCACTGTTTGACCGTGAGAAGTCGTCGTTGCTGCTCGCCACGTTGGTGGCATTCAATGACAGACTTGGAACGTTCCGTGAACAAGAAAGAGCTTCCTAGCTCATCGGATTTGTCCGGTCTAAAGAGAAGAGTGTGATTCTTGTCACGGCAGCCCTTTTGCCCACTTCAGCAATTGTTTCTTGATGTGGTTGTCCCACCTGATGACGGACGCTTGTGTTGCGCCCGAAACGTCGTGATTTAATTTATTCTATTTTCTACCTACGTGCCTTTACCGAAAGAACCAGAGTATGGATCCCTGCAGTCACGAATAAAATAAAACAAAACAATTTCTCGCTGTTTGTCGGTGAATACAAAACACAATTAGAACGTGTCCAGCAGCTTCGTCAATCCAACTGCCTCTTTCATAACCGAAGCAACACAGACTACGCCGACATGTCGGCCAACCTCATCCGATCGATGTAATCGACTTTACAATATCCCTCCTGTTTATACATTGAACAACGTTCGTCTAATTTCTATGGAAATAGAGAAGAAGTCGCTGAATTTGAGCATTCCGTTTAAAACAATGAGATGTCCTCTTTGTCACACACATTGATGTTCATTCATTTTGGGGCGAGCCTGACAATTAAAGATCGATTCTATAACGGGATTATGTTTGCTATTAACAGAGAAAACTAATGAAAACGTTCTGTGTACACAATGATAATTACATTTTACAAAAAAAATGCAAAATTAATTCTTGGCAATGGACATAATCCATTCTCTTTATTGCGAACAAAATTAGCTAGCTTCTCTGGGGATCGTAATAGACTCCAGGATGGAAATAGTGGTGGGGGTGCTGAGCCAGGCGGTTGTGAAGCAAACCACGAGCCTCATCTCGACATCATCTCTACACGTTCCCATGGATACTCGTCTCATGTCTTCGTGCTATACTTAGTTGAGTGCTCCTTCATTATAGCTGTTCGGTTGGCCCTTTCAGTTGCGTGCAATTAACACATGTTTCAACGTCTGTTGCTGTTGCTGATTCGACATTATTAAAACGTGTTTAAACATCGCAGTCTCGCGGTGACGACAAATCAGCTGCTATTTTGAACGCTATTGATCAAATCGAGTTACAAAGTGACCGGGAGTCACTGTACTCTAATTAAACACTGGCGGGTTTTTTGTGTTTGAATCGTCACGTAAACCAGGGACGTGCACTGGTGAACTCCCATCGCGGCTTTTCTCATTCACGTGAAGCTGATGAATTAATTATATTCGTTGGAGTACAATGGGAACGTGGGGGGTTGTTTTCTGATCAGTGGGTGCTGAGCTGTCGCCAGACCTGTTCGCCCTGGCGGGCGGAATGGATCTCTTATCTAGAAAAAAACCTGGGGAGGAAACTCATGGCCTGCCTGACCTGGGAGCCTAGCACATTTATTTTTCTGTTTATTTCACCAGGTAAGGACCGCTCAAGTTGCTTAGCTCTTTTGTCAGAAGCGACCTGGCTATCACGAATGATAGCTCAACGAAGTGGCTTTTAGCAAGTGGAAATGTATAGCAGCGAAATTCTCTAAACGCCTGTTTCACATCACTGACATGAACGCCGTCTTCTCTTGCACCACCCCACTGCCATCAAAATCTCACTCATCATATTTAGCGTCTCCTTTCTGAAAACATTGACTGCCTCCCAGCTATTGTCGGCTGCATGTGACCGAGAAATATTCATGCTCAAAGTAGCACAAGGCGGTGCTATTTCATAATGGCAAATTATAAATGTCATAGCCAATGGTGTCAATTCCACATTCGTATGGCAAGAGTAAAAAAATGTCTCTATAAGATAACCACTGTTATCAAAATTGTACTGATTGCATTGGCCATCTTACTGTTAGAGGCTTTATAGTCTATACTGTCCATATAGAGCATTGTATGTGCTAATACACACACACATCATACATATGGATGTGTGTACACGGTGCAGCGATGGTGAATCTCAACTCTATTAATTTTAATTTGTACTTAATGTTTCAAAGAGCAAACAGCAATTTTAAAATGTTGACCTTGGCTTCAAGTTAAATCACGGAGACAGTTTTAAGGATTCAACAACAGCCGACAGGATGTGGAATAGCTCTGCTCCTCACCACACAAGCTGCTGAAACAATAAGCCCAACCAGTGGGCTTCTTGATTCCGTTCCTCAGATTTATTCGGTGTGCCGCATTTAAATCGTGCACAAAGACATCTGTGTTTTGCCTCTATGCACTGTAAACACTGCCATTCTACTTTGCTCGCCGTTTGGCATCGAGTTATTTAATTTGCTTGAAACCATAACCACTGTATGTTGCCGACATCGGATGCATGTTTTTTCGTCAGCGATTTAACGAAGAAGAAACGAGCATTCTCAATGAGAGGGTGAATAAGATGAAGGTACATATGAACTTGAGCGATATAATGAATATAAAACTGAACGTTCGTACTATGGCTTGAGACGAGCAACACAGCGGCGACGAGGCGTGTATGTACGTTATGTTGAACTTCTTTCGCACCGTACCTAGCCAATCGTGCTAATTCGGAGGTGTGTTGTATTTGGGACCTCGTGCATCAGAACCCCACAGTGGTCACCAGAGCGGTCCTCGGTTCACCGCTCTTCATCCAATTGTCTCTCTAACGCCGCGACTCCAGATTGGTGTTCAGGACCTCAGACGAGTTTGTGGAGGAGGGTCGAGCAAAGGTCCTTCATAGCTGTCAACCCACACGGTTTACCCCGCATTCTCCTACAGGGAAATTGAGTGTTCAGCTCCATACGGCGTACAGCCGTTTCAATACGGGCAAAAAAACGTGGCTATTTATTTGTGTTTCCCACTTGTGATGGGACTTTGTAGGATGAACGTTGAGATTTATGAGGGCACGGGGTGACCGATGAGGTCTGAATTGGTCTGTGATTAGGTAGGCAGCACTGACGAGGGGTGGCCAGGTATGGGTCTTGGTTGTGAGAAATGTAATCGATTGTCGCCTTCGCATCCGATTAGCACATACGGTGCGAAATAATGTCAACATACGTACGTACATTCACGCAGCCACCTATTAAGTGTCCTATCACACGACTAGTGACCATCACTTTGGTCTTTGTTTTGTACATCTTTACAAGGGGTATGTTTTCAACGGAAGGCGTTCACGTACAAACGGGATGGCCCATTTTGAAAACTGTATCTGCTGTGATGTGTCAGCGGGAAATGCCGCGACTGTGAAACGTATTCCACATGGGAATATTTCCAGGACTGAAACAGAAAGGAAGCTGTGAACATAACGCAATAGAGGTATGTTATACTGCAATATTATTACTCTAATTTATGTATAAACTAAATACACTGTGCTCCCAAACTGTAACAGTGAATGATTGTAGAATTTATTAGACTAAAAAAACACACAAATGATCAAGGTAAAAAAAGTAAAATAAATGTGTTGGCCACTGGGACAATACTATAAAGGGCAGTCTATTGTATACTCATATCAACGGGTAAAATAAAAACGGTAAGTTCACCGACAAATGAACTATTAATGTAACTGGAGCTTGGTTTACCATAGCTTTTCTTCTCATAAATATTGCGAAAGTGTTTGTAAACTGACGGAATAATTTTGGCATAAGAGTATTTTAAATGTCTTGTTCGCCGGTTAAAACAGTTGGTGAGAAGAAGTCCGTCGGCTTAAGCCTGCATTTTCAACGTAATCGGGCGCGCGCGTTGCTCAATAACCCCCTTGTGGAACCCCTTCCATCATTCCCATGCTGACTGGATGGTCTCAGCAGGAATGTGAGTCCAAGTCCACACCCGGCTGCAAACCAAGCAAATCATACAAAGAGGGAGGAGTGGTTGGGAAGGAAGGGGATAAGGGGAAGGGTGCGAGGGGTGAAGGGTGTATAAGGGGCCGGCGGGTGGAAGATGTTGTGCTTGGGAAGCCTTGTGTGTGCTAGGGAGACACTTATCCAACATCCTTTTGGGCTGAACGAGTGTCAAAATCTGCGACAAAAAAAACCGTCGCAACGATTCTCAGACCCCTGTCGTCACCTGTCACCCCTGCTTCTGGCCTTAACAATTCAACTTGGATTTATAAAGTATTTAAATGTGACCACATCACAAGATGATGTATGAATAGTGGGGCGGGGGGGGGGAGACATGCAGATAGCGACAATGTGATGAATAGGGATATTTTGTGGGAGGGTTTTCTTCAGAGAAATATGGCGAAAATGCTAAAGGCCAAATAAGACATTGTAGCGAAAGAGAGGGTGAGCACACGTCATAGGGAGAGGCAGTCAGCGACAGAGACACAAAGGAAAACTATAAACTGTTAAAACTAAATGTGTTTTATTGTACAATGTAAAGCTCACTGAGCTATGTAACTCTTTTTCAGAAGCGACCTGACCACAAATGATAGCTCAACGAAGTAGCTTATCAAGCGGGAAATTTATAGCGGCCAAATACTCTAAACGTGCGTTGATTCCAAATGTGGAGGGAAAAACCGGAGGACCCAGAGAAAAATCTACACCACCACGGGGAGAGATAAAATGCAAACTCCAAATCTACAGTAGGCGTCAGGGTCGGGATCGAACCCACGACCTCCTTGCATACAAGGCGAGACAGCTAACATCTCGCCACCAGGA